TGTATATATATTATATATATATATACATAATATAGTATACATATATATATATATATATATATATATGTGTGTGTGTGTGTGTGTGTGTGTGTGTGTATATATTAAACTAGCTTTCAACATTGTTTAAGACCGTACACTCACCATGATAAACCAAAAGTGATGCATATACTCTTCCAACCCACATACTTGTAAGTTCATATATGCAAATACTCTCGAATTACAATGGAGGATGCACTACACTTGCATACATGTAGATACAAAATCCCGTTGATCCTGGTGGCCGGACAACTTCGCCAACAACAAGGAAAACGTGTGTAGCATACATAAAAGAGCTCGTATATGCCAAGTGAAAACAATCAAGCCTCACCCGGACTTGCAATTAATTTGAAGAACCACTCATATCTAGTTTGATATCTAGTTTGATGTGTGTCAAGTGAGTAACTCACATACCAATATGACCCAACGGCGATCATGAAGATGAAGATGAAGATTCCAGGGTCCATGCCTGTGGCCTCTTTAACGATCTCCTCCGCTTCTTCAAACGTTTTGTTGAACTGCTCTCCTGCGTCTTCGGCCATACTGACGTGTTTAGATTATCTACAATGTGGTACTACTGTGTATGCTACAAAGTGAACAGTCGAATGGATGTGTGTTTATTGCGCGCGTAGGGAATGTGGTTGTGTATATATCTCTACTATTTTTTACCACAGCTCACCGCTGGTGGTATTTATTTATTTTGCAGAGTGAGAGCCTGATGAGTTTCTGAGGGGGATCTGAATCTGTTTTTCAAAAACAAATCATGTGATGGGGCCCGTGGGGGGAACTGGACACCCGGTCGTTTTGTTTGAATAAACCGGTCTCCTCGAGAGTCGAGACTCGAGTATTTATTTATTTACTCTCTCCATTGTTTGCAATACATATCAAAGTGTTGTTTGTGTTTTTAATTCTCTGTTTTTATTTAAAAACATGTCGCGTATATCCAAATTCTCCTGAGACCCCTGATCGCTGATGAGATGAGTCATGTGACCCGTCTGGAAAACATCCGAAATCTTTTCATATTTAATACCCATAGCCTTCTCTGTATTTTTAGAATGCTAGGAATTACCGACATTTGAAGAGAAAAAAATACAGCAGTATGTAAATATATTGGTTTTGTCTTTTCTAAAACCCCTAAAAAATGAGGTAACCCCTAAAAAATTACATAAATAGTTACAGTCAATGTGTTTATTTATATATTATCAGTTGTTGGCTATGGTTTTATATATTTCAGCCTTCAGCCGGCTTCTCAGGTCTCTTCACAGTTCACACTTTACAGACGCTAGTTGGCAATGTCAGACAAATACACATTGTAGGTGGCTAGAATCGTAGGTGGCGTGTGTAGGTGGCTATATTTATGGTGGTCTCAAGATTTCTCTATTAAATATCGATATCTTTACAGTTTTTTTAGGGCTTTTGAAATTTCGATCACACATCGTTCGGAGATCCTTCAACGAACCACCAATTACTCGCATTCGCTACACGTCACACACTCACATTCTAATGACTCCACCCACGACAGATCTATTGTATTCTTGTTTTTATGCTATATGTATGTGCATATATGTGTATGTATACGGACGCGTTAGCAGCTTTCTTAAATCCTCTCTTAGGACAGCTTTGTTAGTACTTCCCATCGGCTTCCTGCCATAGCAGTGTGGTGATCATACGCTGCATTGGGACAAAAAATTGTTCTCTCGCTTGTAGCGTTGAAATATCCAACTGAATACATAATTTCGACCACATCGCCAGAGTTTGGGCTCATGCTTCGAGAAACACTCACTGACATAAACACTCAAGGTAGGGATTACCAATGTATTTATGGTCAAGGCTCTCCTCTACTGCTGCACCTGACTGGTGGCCAGGTTTGCCGTTGTGAGGACGTTCGCCTTGGCTTCTACCTTCACGCTCCCGTCCCGAAATAACAATTTTCTTCTGAGACTTGCACTTGTCCTATTAGTATCTAGACAGCTATTTAGATCCATCTTTCATCAACTGGCACTCATTGGTTCACAACTTCACGGATGTGACGTAAAAATGAAAAATTAGACAAACCGATTTTAAGTATCGGACAACAACACAAAAATATTAATAAAATAAGATCAATCCGATTAGGCTAGGGTTGTCATACCCTACATTAACATATATTCCAAATCAGAATAATAAATGCTGCTGAATTTACGAAACTCTAATTTTCCCTTTATTGTGCATTTATATTTACATACATAAATATATAGATTTATGTATGTATTGCTTCAACGGGGTTATGTTGAAGGTTGGTGATAAGCTCCAACGAATAACTGCTATCCCTTTGTAGTTCAACACACCATCAATTACCTGTAACTACGCTAGAACGAATTCTTAGCTTCATTGGGGTCCCAAACCCTTTTTAGGAATCTTATCACCGTCACTCACATAGTTGAGGAAAAATTGAGATAAATTTGCTCATCTCGTATCCGGTATTGAAATAGAATGAAAGTATGGCCAGAAAAGGGAGTGTCAACCTTGGCAACCAACCATCACTTGGTGCGAGTTCCACTGCAGCAGCGTTGCTTAGCGACGAGGATGGCTTGCTGGACGCATTAGGTCTAGACATGGAGAATCTAGATATCACCACCGAAGACATTAGTTTCGATGAGGTGGGTTTACACATCCAGGAGAATTTGGAAGACGACCTCATTAAGCAAGCGTTACAGTCGGGCGTAGACCTCAGAGAGTATGCACAACAGGTACGTTATTCCAATACACCTGTATCGGCTCTCGACCCGTGTCACTGTAAACTTCTATTTCCGCTCACCTTATTTCACTGGTTGCCAATGCTCATAGACAGGCACATTTGTTCTTGTGAATAATTGTTGATTGTGATCAAATCTTATGTGTGGAATAAAGACCGTGTATCTGGCGTAATTTTTTGTACAGCGATATATATATATGTGTGTGTGTGTGTGTGTGTGTGTGTGTGTGTGCGTGTGTGTGTGTGTGTGTGTGTGTGTGTGTGTTGTTGTATATATATATATATATATATATATATATATATATATGTATGTATAATTATATAGAGCCCATGTAATGTATGAATGTATAAATACACACACATATACGCACACATGCATATATATATATATATATTTATATTATGTTCAATATAAATAATGTATATATAAACACACATGCATATGTATATATATATATATATATATATTAATATTCGCAAATATATATGTATATATA